CTGGTGCCTTGCACAAACACAGGATGCACTATTCCTGTCTCAGAGAAATGCCTGTCCAGCTTTGATGTCTTCCTTCTTTATGGCAGCCTCTAAAATATTTTCCAAATAATGAGTTATACATTCTTAATTTACTTTTAAAGGTGGAACACCCCAAGCTACACAAATTTGGCTTCTGGTTGGCCTGCAGGGTCAACCCTAGGGCAGTATGTCACAGAAGTATGGCCAAAAGATGACAAACAAATGGACTACTGTGAGATTAAGCATGGAGTACTACAAATGCCTATGGTAGTATTTCTAGCCATTGATATTATTTGGGAATCCAGTAAAACTCCATAGCTGTGCTTTGGTACACTCTCTGGTATGAATTCAGTAACAAATGGATGTTTTTTCATAATCTTTGCCTCATTTGGACTGATCTTGAGCCCACTGAGGTCCTTGCTTTCTGCTGACGGGTGGATGAAAATTTGTATAGTCTTTGTTGAAGAAGGACATGTATAATTGACTGCCATCCACTTACCAATAGCATTGAAATCTCCTATATCTCACAAGCCCTCCTAATAACCTCCTATAAAATTTTGTGTGAATTGTCACATAAGAGGAGCAAGTGTCCATCACAAATTTCAGAGTCAAATTAAGGTAACTGTCTGTTTCTACCAGGCCTTTCTTATTATCAAATCAGTGGGGCATGTAAGAATCTACATAGCTACTGTGTACACCCAGTAACTTATAGGCTGGTCAGGCAGGTGCATAGTTATGTACACATGCCTAGTGCACCCCATAAGTCACATGGTTGGACAAAACCCCATGATTACTGGCTGTGTTAGATACCAGACAAAGAGGTCCTTTCTGTCCTTTCTGTGTCTCTGCCCTAGAACTTTGTCTTCCTGCTTTTTGGGTAAGTCCTTAATCTCTCAGCAATTAGGGCTCAAAATGGGAGGATGTGCCATGATACCCTCCTGTATTGTCTCGGTACATGTGTATGTAGACACATAACTACCTGGCCAGTGAATAGCCTACTCAGTGGCTGTGGGACGCTTACATGTCCACACTGCATAAGTAATAGAATTGCTAACTATGTTTAATTATTAATGTAGGGTGCTTGGTTCAGTGCCATTTAGGGACATAGAGGCCATTGACCTGAAGACATTATCTCAAAAACTGTAGTTCTTCATTTGGAAATAGGCTTGGATCTCTTTTCAGTAGGTATTACCAATGTCTGGTATTTGGTGGAGGCATCCAAGATTATTTGTCCGCTCCCTATTTAAAACAGATTTGCTTGCTGATTCTTTGTAGTGTAGCCATTTAGTATCCTTCCAATGTTCCACTTAGTTCAAACACCCCTGCTTGGATCAGGGTCAAACACACCAATAAAGCTTATCACTTACCAAAGGTTAAAAAAATAAAGCTTCTAAATTTTACCTTCCTGGATTCCAGAGTGACTCAACCTTGTTGAGACTAGGAAAACAGACTGTGTTTGAAAAGTACTATCACAAGGCATTGGTCAGTCTAGAGCTGACTGTAATTTCTATAGTTTTGAGGTGTCAATGATTTTTTTTGTTATTGTTGAAACTATGCTTTTTTGAAAAGGGAGAATAAGTACTTGAACAATTTTAACTGTTTTTAAACTCAACCAATACTAATATATATATATACCTTCTTCCTCAAATCCATAGAACACTTCTAAATATACAGTACAGAAAGCAACTTTCACTTTTCAACTTCTACCTTTGTTTTCTCCACAGTGAAATATTTTTCTTCCTCCTTTATTTTTGCCTAAATAACTTGTTTACCTGCTGTGTAACCTTGGCAGTTTGCTTTATCTCTGAATGGCTTAGTTTACCCAGATGCTTAAATTATACAATAGTGGTTATGGATACAGCAAAACTTATTTAACAAGATCATTAACTCTAAAATGCTCATGAGTTTGAAATATAATAATATGTATTGAGGTTCCTTATAAGGCTGTTCCGCATAAGATATTTATTTTACAGTAAAGTATTTCTATGATAGAGAGATCTTACTGATTTTCTTTGATTGTTCAAGTGGCAAAGGTGTAAAACTGACATTATGCATTATACTCCTGGGTTAGTTTTTGGTATTCTCTCTTTTTTTTGTCTAACAAACTCTATTTAAATATTCATTTTTTCCCTGCCTTTTTGGACCTTAATATGGGAACCCTGTTGAGCAGGGAGGTACCATGTGCCTTGTTATATTAATTAAAATGTAAGTCTTTCAACCATTTTGTCCCACAGGTAGCAATATTAACCTTTATTTGTCTAAGGGTTATAAAATGCATGCTCTATGCCCTCATGCATCTGACACATTTAACTTAGTTGTTAGGTTCAGCTGCATAAGTTTGATTCTTTAATAAGTTTGAAAATTTGTGATGCTAATACACTTTACAAAGAGACAGAAAACAATCTTTGTAATTCTCACAAGGTTGCTGGACAGGTAGGCTAGCCTTTAATAACTTCAGCTGATTTATTTTTCTGTTATTGTTTCAGGTTCAATGGATCCACAAGACTTCCTGAGGGAGGCACAAATAATGAAGAACCTGAGACATCCGAAGCTTATACAGCTCTATGCGGTTTGCACTTTAGAGGACCCAATTTATATTATTACTGAGCTAATGAGACATGGAAGTCTGTTAGAATACCTCCAAAGTAAGCAAAAGATTAAAAACTAATTTCAGATAGTGCTAGAGCATGTAGTTCAGTGAATGCTCTCAAGAAGAAGGGAAAGCAAGGTGCTCTGATTTAATCTAAAGACTGCAATATTCATTGGGGTCTGGAGCAAACAGGGTTTAGAAATTCCAGATTGCAGATCATCTGAGAAGGTGGAGAATTCATAGTTTTATGCTCACTTTACAGTAGCACACATGCTTCCACATCTTCTGGGAATAAAGTGGAACCTGCACCCCTAGATCAGGGTTTGTAGGAATGAAGAAGTGCTGTTTGTCACACTTTACTGTGTACCACCATTCCCCAAACCACTAGAAACCTCTCTAGATATTTTACAGAGTGCCTCAGAGTGAGTTTGTGGCAGAAGATGCCTCTTGCTATATGTTTGCGTATCACCTCATACAATGGGGCTTAAACTGAATGGAACTCTGAGGGCTACTACTAATAATTAATAAGTTGTAATAATGATTGAAAATAAAGCAGAGCACCAATGAAGGGACCGGTACCATGACTGTACTCCAAGTTCTACCCAGTTGTCTTGGTTCTAGAGCTATTCCTAATTTTAAGTACAGAAAATACCTGTGAAACCTTTATCATCTCTAAAGCCAGAGTGATTTTTTTTTAAAGCCTGCTCTCCATGAATCTCTTCTGAATTCTTGTCTTCCTATATCCCGTAAGCAAAAGTCATATGGATAACTGTAGACAGGTTCTGCATTAAAATATTGCTTCCTCACTGCTTTCTGTTGAACTGCTACTTAAGTGGGGCTGCATCCAGGAATAGCCTCATTTGGAAGCTCTGTGCATCATGACAAACTATGTGCCTAAAACTTGCAAATAAATTAGGTCCAGGCTCCTCGCAAGTTTTTTGGGGGAGTCTAATTCTGACTGGTTCTAGTGGGACTTAAGCTCCTAAAAGGGTTCTGGGCTTAGGGGGTGTGTGGGTGTGTGCACACCCTATGGCTCTTCTGTGTCTCCCAGAGTTGAACAAGTATAATAAGTAAAAGCCCAGCCTCCTTCACAGGATATGGCAGATGGAAACTTGCTTTCCCTAATGGGAGAGAAATGGGGAAACTGAGCTGAAACTCTTTGAATTTATGGCCGACGAGTTCTATACCACTATTCCTCAAAAATAACGTTTATGAGATAATTCTTGATTCTGATTACAATGGGAAATAATCCTCAATAGTCAAAGAAGTAGTAATGTCCAATATGTTGTCATTTCTGGCTACTTTCTGTGATAAAATGGCAAGACAAATCACAGATCAAGATAGGTAGTCATCAGAGCTAAATTTCCCTTCCTAGAAATTGTTCATTTTCTTTGCTTTAAAGAAATACTCCAAAACCTTCAGGACTGAGTTTCCTGCACAGAAACTATATGCTACACATAGACAACTGCCTAACAGAGATGGGCAAGTGCTCCTCATTGGTGGTGTCCTTCCTGATGAACACTGCTATGTATGGTTGAAGTCATATTATTATTACTGAGCTGACAATGGCCAAAGTAAGAGAACACAATTGCAAAACATTTCTGCAAAACATTGTGGATGTAAATTAAATTGTAATAAATGGATGAACATATTGTTCAGTGATGATATACAGTAAGCCTTCTCTAGCAACATTACATTCTTGATATTTGGTAACTACTGAGTTCCATATATGAAAATGAGAGAAATATATGCCTGTTTGTAAGAGCCATCTCTCCTATCTTTTGTTCTACTCAGTCAGATACTGTGACTGATTGGTGAGATCCTAGGACAATCACTGAGCCTCCCTTAATATTTCCTTTAATAAATTCTTTGAAAAAAGATGGTTTTGTCTAAAAATGTTATTAAGTAGGTGCAGAGGGAGCTGTCACATTTTCTTTGCCAGACAGAGAACAAGTCAGGGATAGCTTTTTGTAAATTTATTTACCAGTGCCTGAATAGTGGGTGTATTTTTTCAGATTAACATAACTGGTCATTGACAGACATGGAAAAAAAGAATAAAAAACATGCTTTACCAGAAGATGCAGCATTTACATAGTTTTAGCACTTCAGCAGGACTTTTTGGTGCTTTTATCTAAAACTGATTCAATCAAATATTGGATAAAAGTACCAAAAAAGCCCCACTGAAGGGCCCAATCTATATAGATGTTGGGAGAGCCATGTCCAACTAACGTGATGCTTCTTCTGGGCACATACTGTGCTCAGCACAGGGGCATGCCAAGTTTAAAGTAAAGCACTGGTTTTCAGGGTTTTTATGTCTGTAAACAAACTCTATTTTTTTTTCAAGAACTCTTTATAATAACCTAATATTATCAAACATGAAGCTAGAATTTACAGTTTTTTTCTGAATGAGGGTGTGTAACTGGGAACAGCAAAGATAGGGCCATATAACTCTCAGGTTATCACTGTGTAGTTCTAAAGTACTTGCATCCTCCTGCTTCCTGTACATCTGTAGGTATCATCTGCTTGACTGTAATTTAGGGTGATGCAATCATAAAGGCTCTTAAAACAGGAGCATTCACTCCTTAAAGGGTGTTAATCCATCCTCAGTACCCTCTAATTTTTTTAGAGTTGTCATTCCAGGTGAGGTTTACCTTTGATCTGTTTTGCCAAGGCTGTTTCCAGGGTATTGTTAGTCAGCATCCCAGAGATAAAACTATCAATTTGCAGTCCTCTAGAAGCCCAAGATGAACAGCTCCCAGTCACTGTACTCCTCTCCACCCTCCAAACCTACAGTGGTCTCTCCCCCGTCCCACACTAAGCCTCCACACTGGGTGCAGACATGAGTTACATTTGTTGTGCGATCCGTCTCCTGGACATGTCCTTCAGCCACGCCATCACACACGTGCACAGCTGGCAGAGTGCTTTAAAAGTGGCTGATTGTGTGACAAATTAACACTCATTTAATGAGGGATCAGTTGAAAGTGCTCCACTTTTGGGTGTCTTGAGGAACTTTTGATCTTGATTCCCACCCCCATCCCAAACCTACAGGCTGTTGGGTCGGGGGGCCACTTTTGGGTCAGGTGGGGTTCTCTAACTCATGACACTTTTTATATAGGTCATCACCCACTGAGAGCAGCCACTCTCAGTCACTTAAATACAGTGAGACCCTAAGCATCTTAACTGCAATGAGACCCTGGAATTGGGGAAAACATGCTTCCCTTAAGTCCAGGGTCTTGATGCCTGGCTGCCTAGCTTAGCACATGGATGCCACAATTTAAGTGTAGCAAGCTGGGAAAAGCCACTCAAACCAGCATGAAAACTCAGAGATACCAGAGAGACCACGGCCAATAGGCAGTTTGACAGGCAGCAGGACTTAACACTGGTCAGTAGGGCCAACAAGCTCCTGGAGGGAGGCTGGGATGGCTGGGCCAGGGGGGACCACATGGGCTGGCATGAACCTCCTGAACCAGCACCCAGCTCAGGGATACCAGGGAGCCTGCAGCCAGCAGGCAGGTGGTGGGACCTCATTATTTAATTAATAACCCTTAACCCCATCTGCCAGCTGTGAGAAAACCTTAACTGTGGGCATCCAAGGGTTTTGGGGAACCTGAAGGCTCAATTTGAGGGGGGGGGGCCTCAACGTGAGGGCTGAAGTTGAGTGGGAGAACCCACTTCCCTCTCCCCTCTGCCAAGAAAGCACAGCTGGCTATTGGCTGAGCATGCCTGCCCAGTTGTGCAGCCCCCATGCTGGCCAGAGGGGCCTGCCAGCCACCGGGGCTGGGGGCAGGGGGGTCTGCTGTGGCCGGGGCCAAGCAAGTCTGGCATCAACCTCCGTCAAGCCCCTGGCCCAATCCTAACTGAGGTAAACACATGCAGCATTTCACAGTGTTATATTATTATACAGCCTGATGACAGATTTTCACGGTGTATCATTAAGCTGTAAATTGTCATGTAGCACAATTTCTTTTCTTTCTTGTAAAAGTTATGGGTGCGATTAGAAATATGTGGGGGAGGAGAAACGTCAATAATAGAAGTAAATAATCTTCATGTTGAATTGTCATGACAATGAGTTTAACCTCAAAGAAGAAGTAGTAAATGTGCACAGGCAGGGCAAATGTAATTGTCAAATTCAGCCTTTTACCTATTCACTTAAGAACACAGGGATGCAAGTAGAAAATTTCAGGCTTGGAGATTTCAGGCAAGATTGATAAATAATCATTCTTAGCACTCCTCATCGTGGGCAACAGCAAGGTTCTGTACATTAGGTCATATGAAATGGTAAGTGATTCAAGTCAGTGCTGCTCATTGCTACTACAGACTGGAAATTTGAAGCACCAAAAGGCTATTCTTCACAGATAATGTTTTTGCTGAAATACAGATGCAGTTAGGAAGGATAGTTGCTATCTCCACTCGGAAGAGAGCCAAAAGTATAAGGGGCAATAGAATCTTATTGGATGACAGCTTTGGAAAGTTATTAGAAAATCAAAATATTATACAGTTTTTTATTATTTTTATTACAGTTGCCATCTCTTAGTAGTGACATGTCACTGCCTGAATGCTATCTTGCTCCTGTATTGTTATGTTAAGTATTATCTGGATATGTGATAGAGGAAAATATTCCCAGGGGAGATGTTGCTGGTAAACGGTGAGAGTTTATGTTGTTGCAAATGGGCATTGACTGTATCACCCTAGCACCTAGAGTGTTGAAGTGATAGTCTTATGCTTTTGGCACTTTCAGTCCTGGGGTCAAATCTCACTGACTACGTGCAATGACTATACGTAACACTTTTTAAACTTCTTCAGGGTTAATCTACACAAACATGTAAAAGTAAATACTTTTCTGTCTACCAGCATGAGTGCATCCATCACAACAGGCCACAAGTTGCCTTAATATGAGTCGCAGGTGCCCTTCCTTTGTATATGTCTTAGTGTCTATGATGCCAGTTATTCAAGGCATTAGGTCTTTGTCTTTCATATCATATATTGAAACAACCTGCTTTGTTCAAAGGATTTTTTTATTACTTATTTGAACTGTGTGCCTCTGAGTGTCAGATTAGTATTCCAGGATATTGCTAACCTTCACATGCTGTAAATAGTTCAAGAGCATGTGGATGGGAACAGTTTCCAATCATGTGTCCCTTCACCTTACCCTCAATTAATGTTCGCTTATAAAAATACAAAAAGTGCACTAATATTATCCCGGTCAGGTACTTGTGGAAAGACAAATAGTTGCTCTACCACAGGAAGCTGGGTAATAATTTAAGGGGAGTCTCAATCACCATAGATGTACTTTGAAATAAAGTGTTGCATTAGCTATTGTTTGCTCTTCTATCAGAGTTTCTTTCCAAAGGATAAATGGAGGCTGCTTTTCAAGTACTGTAGCATTCATTTAGTGACACCTGCTGAACATGTGGTATTCTGCTGGAATGGTACTTTGTCATGCCTGGGTTTGCTGTTCAAGTGAACAGTTTGAGCCAATGTTACCATTCAACCATGGTTTTTACATAACTTGAGAATTGATAGGGTACATATACATATTTTCTGTAATCCTACATTCTTTTTCATTTCTACAGAAGATGCAGGCTCACAGATCCACCTGCCTCAACAAACAGATATGGCAGCTCAAGTTGCCTCAGGAATGGCTTACCTCGAATCCCAGAACTATATCCATCGGGATCTGGCAGCCAGGAATGTCCTTGTCGGGGAACACAGTGTTTACAAAGTGGCAGATTTTGGCCTTGCCAGGGTTTTTAAGGTGAGCCTGGATGGGTTGGTTTGTTTGCCATCTTATGAAGTACCGAGGAGCAGCTTGCTGCTTCTCTTGCAGTAGCCTGGCTGCAGTGGCTAAGCATGGCAGGTAGAGACAGGAATGGAACCAGGATGTTGCTCCTTCATTTCCTATTCATCTTCCAGGCAGGGAAAGCAGGAGCCAAGAGTAGTTGTTCCTCCTTCTCCATCCTCTTCCCAAAATCCAGGCAGCATCTGGCTTAAAGGGACCACTTCACATTCCTCAACCTCTTCTATGGGTGTGTAGATGGTGTCATAATTGAGCCCTCCTCAATTATAAAGCGGACTGTGTGAGCCCTTAGATCATCTTTGACACTTGACCTTTGCTTTTTTTTTTCAGTGTTTAAGAATATTGCAGATAGTAACAGAGTACTGAACTTGGTGTCACTGTGGACAAAAGCATTGGAAGGATGGCTTTCCAGTTTAAAAGGAGTTTTCTTGCTTGTGTGACAAATTGGATTTTAACTGAAAGAATTGGTTTATTATATCTTACGGGTTTCATGAAGTAATTTCCAGGCTTTCAGTTTTTTAGTTTAATTGTCTTAAAGATTTGAATGGGGAAAAACCTAACTTTTCTTGCCAGTTGTTTTTCATACAAGGCACCAGGCCTGTAGAAGCTGAAACTGAGATTGGCGGTGTAACACATTGAGTTGACTTTAATGTCAAGCTGATATTAAAAATGCTGTTGCTCAATTTTGACTCTACTGTGAATCTTTTAACCTGAGATACATTTATTATTAAAATGAACTCTATTTGCAGTGGTATTTTCTCTTTTGGCTGTTAGGATAATTGTTCAAGCATCCTGTTGAAGGTGAACCTTTAAACAATGTCAGAGAACACACTGTCTCCATAGAATATTTTGTGTTGATTCGGGTCCCAGACTAATATTTAGGCCCATGCAAATTCCTCCAGGCAGCAACTATCTGGGTCCTAGTAAAACATAAAAAAACAGATTAACTGGCATAATAAAAACATAGTTTGTTTGTGTATAAAGACTAAAATAGCAATCCTAAATACAAGGCATAATAGTATAGTGTAGAACATTACTGCAAGACAAAAATATATTCAACAGCGGTGGATATCGTTCATCTTATTCATTACATTTTGCTTCATTTGTATATTTATTTGCATGTTAAACTTTGAGTGAGATTAAACCACGGGTGAGGTGCCCTTGAAACCACCAGTGAATGAAGAAATAAAGACCGTTTTTTGAAAATACTGGTAAAGTATCATATTTTCCCAGAGGCAGCTGCAGTAGCTGCAGAGAAAATGCTGTGGCTGCTCTGTTAACCCCCTTGCTGCAGGGTGACACAGGTACTGCCAGATGAGCCAAACTGCTCATTCCTTTTTTCTCAAGCTGAGCTGGGTGGGCAGCCATCAGCACCTGTGGAGTCAGCTGGGGGCCTCTGCCCTGGTACCCAGGGCTCAGCTCTGCTATAGAGGCTCCTGCTAAGTCAGTAGCAGCTTCTGTATCCAGAGGCTCTGCTGATGTAAAGACAAAATATCTATAGTGAGCCATTAGGGAGCCTCTGTGCTCACCCCTCTATGCCGCATATACAACATCACTTTCTCTTTACCCCAGCAGAAGCTCAGGCTGCAGAATCTGCTTTTACCATATTTTCTTACTTAAAACATATACCTCAATTTCCAATAACTGATTTTTGGATGAAAGTTAAGTGTTGTATGTGAGAAAATATGGTAAAGAAGTTTCCTTTATTTTTCTTATATCTGACATCTTTTTATATGAATTAATTAGGTGTCACTGTAAGATAAATACATTATCGTATCCCTCGTGAATGGCAAAATCTGTGAAGAAGGCACGGTGTTTATGAACGCAGTGCCCCCAGAGGCTGGGGGGGAAGTGGGGGCAAGGCTCTGGCAGTGGCAAGCACGGAGCTCCCGAGGAGCTCCTGTAGGTGCATAAAGTGTATTTAAAATGCATGTTTGGCATTTTTGAATATTTGAAACCGCAAGTGCCGAACCCGCAATAGCAAGGGTTTCCTGTATATTAAATTACTTGGAATCTGTTTTCTGGTACTGGAGTCTGGTGAAGTGATAATTACCAGCATCAATGGCCCTTCAATGCTAGCAATAAGACACAGAAAGAAAGGTTTCTAAATGCATTGGCTCTTGCAGTTGCTGCCTCCATTTACTGAAGAGCAGATATGAAGCCAGTGGTACCATGTGGTTTCTAGTGCCAGCAGGATGTTTCTGCTGCCACTTCTGATAGACTTTTGAAATGATTTGTGCCAGATTCAGAATTCACAGAAGAAAGACATAATTAAGCACAAACTATTCTAATATTGTGTTAGCACTGGAAATTACAAATGGCTTTGAAAGGATTCTGATGAACAAAGATATATTTTCAGCTATAAGGCTGGATTCACCAAAAGACTATAATCCTATTGAAGTCAAGTGGTTGTTAGAAGAGGGGCGGGTTTAATCACATGCTTGATTTCAGCATGTGCTTAAGTGTTTTGCTGAACCAGATTCTAACCTGGGGTTTGCTTTGTACATAACAGGTAGGAAATGAAAATATATATGAGGCTAAACATGAAACAAAACTCCCAGTGAAATGGACTGCTCCTGAAGCAATCCGCTCCAATAAGTTCACCATCAAGTCTGATGTGTGGTCATTTGGAATACTTCTATTTGAAATAATGACATATGGAAAAATGCCATATCCTGGTAAGTGTTTTGTTTTAAAGAAAATTTTTAGTGATTTCTTGATTTTGATTTGTTATTATTTTAACTGAAGTGCCTTGGTGACCCATATATAATGGGTCAGACCCATATTAAGAGCTGTTGGCCTTCTCAGGTCTGGTAGAAGCCTTCCAGAATCATTTTCAGCCATCCATAAATTGCCTTCCTGGGATCCATCTGCAGTTTGTGGCCTCCTGAGCCAGTTGGACCATCAGCGTAATGAAGCCAGAGCAGCATGTAAACTCATGCTTCCCCATCTATGTGGGAAAAGAGGAGAGTCCAGTGTTGAGTACTGCACAGATTTGGCAGGAAGAAGATACTGAAGAAAAGAAAAGTGTTTTTTTGCAATAGCTCTGACTGAGCAGGCAAACAGAGGAGGGCGCCAGCAAAAGAGAAGGACAAATAGCACATAGGGTGAAATAGCACATAGGGTGACATTTCAATATTGGAATAGTCTACATCTTGAGTTCTGTAGGTGGCATCCAGAGAAAAGCAGTTATGACTGGCACAAAGTACTAATACAATGCTTAGTTGTCACCCTCACTTTGTCCTTGGTGAGGACAGTATAATGAAGAGCAGAAGCAGAGACAAAGGATATGTCTGCATGCCTTGTCTCTGTGGAACTCCTGGGTAGGGTTGCTGCCAACCCAAGTTTTGGGGGTTTTTAGGTGACAATATGCAAACTTTCCCCTGGCATTTGTTTTTGCTAGCATAATTTTATATACTGTAACTGTAACCCTTCTGGTAGGACCTAGATGGCAGTTACAACTGGGTTCAAATTCAGGGGTTTAGCATTAACTTCATAAATTTGGTTCAAGCCCCCCAAGTAATAAGTTCTTACTTGACTACAGCAATGATTTTACATAGTGCTGCCTCCACCCAATGGTCCCCTACTCACCCTATACACTGGTGTACCAACTACACCCTGCACTTACTCCTGCCAGCCCTGCTCCTCCCTGCATCCTGGCACAAAACTCCAGCCATTGTCTGTACTCCCCTCATGATCCTACAGCTCCCTCCCAGTCAGAATGTTTAACCTGGTGCCTCAGACTGTCTGGGGTCATATGGTCCTGCTTACTTTCAAGGTGAGCAGTCATTACAGGCAGGCAGTGGCTGGAACACAGTGGCAGCACATGGCTGGGGGTGCCGGAGGACACTACAGAGGCTCCCATGGGCCACAGATCCCCAACAGAGAGCTCGTTTCAGGGCACTGATCTGCACTCCTGTTTAGACACAAGGTGGCACTGCTCTGTCTATCAACACTTGTATCTACCTCAATCAAGCTCGTGGTTTCTTTTTTTTCTAATGGATTTTATGGACAAGTGTTTTAGCTTTGTTTTTTATAAACTGTCTGTAAATTTAGACAGCTAGCAACCCTGTCCCAGGAAGTGTTGCATGATCCAACCACCTGCTCCTGGTCTGCATGCATCAAACCCAGAAATTAGGAGATGCAGCCACCTAGCAGATGTCCCTGCTGCTGCTCCTACGTTCTGTCACTGGTGTGTTCAATAGTAGTAGCAGGCAGTGCCATTAACCTCTCATTTTTATGGTAGAAGGAGTGTGCTTGAAAGTGATACCCCACAGAGCACTGCAGAAGCAGTATAGACATATTAAAAGAAAAATGGGATTTCAACAAAATTATTTTCACCATCCACTCTATACCTATCCAGGCCTGGAACTTGTTCTACTCACCAGGACCTTTATCTTAGATGATTCCAGAATGCTAGTCTCTGACTGTAAAGTGTTTGCTAGGTTTATTTTAGTTGCCAATGGCTTTCTTTCTATGGAATAAGTAGTAAAGGAAACACCAGACTTGATGAAAATATGAAAATGCATTAAAATTGCAGGTTGTTCTCTGCTTTCCTGAAAGCACACTCAAGTTTATGCTTAGTGAGGCCATAATCTGTGCAAACTTTCACAACTGAAGATGGAAAAACCTGTGCCAAGTTCTTTATTCTAGCTGATAAATCTAATTAAAGTGTCCCCTTCCCACCCACCCCCGCTCCGCCCCAGGGAACATGTATAGATGCCTCTTGGTTCTAGGTCCTCCTCGGACTGCACATTTCTTACTTTTCAAGAGAGTGCCCTAACGAGAGGGCTATAAAGTAGAGAGTAGTGGTGTGCGAAGCAGGCTGTATTCAATTTGGATTCAGTTTCAGCCCAATTCAGGGCACAGTGATTTGATTAGCTGATTTGGACCAC